AAGAGCGCACAGAGAGAGCTGGCAGCGGCCGCACAAACACCTCCTGTCCCAAGCTCACCCCCTGCCGAAGCGGAGCTGCCGGCCCAGCTCCCGGCGGGATGCGGAGCCGCGTCCGTGCGCACGGCAGCCCCAGGGCCGGACACCCGGCCAGGTCTGGGTGAAATCCCGAAGCGACGCCCTGCTGACACCCCCAGGCCCGCGGTGCTCACCCAGCAAAGTGCCCCGGGCGCCACTTGCACACGCTGTGCCTGGGATGAGCCCTCACCGGGAAAGCCAAGAGACTGAGCCCCGTCCAGATCTGAGCCTCTCCAGGACACCTCCACTGTCACGGGTCTGGTGGCACAGCTGCAATCCCCCAGTGAGGCAGGGCCACCTGCACAGGTGTCTGACCTGCGGGTGCTGGAAGCCAGACGGGCTGGAAGCCTTTTGGGGGTGAAGTGCCCAGACCCAGCTGGGCCGTGCCGGGTCCCTGGTACAGCACGTCCCCGTGCTCCCACACAGGTGCCCAGCAGGACCACGGGCACTGTGGAACAGCACTGCCTCCACACACCGCCTCTGCCAGAGGTTCTCAGCTCTTCCGAGCTCCCTGCTTAGCAAGAAACCAGCTGATTTTTGTACCCATGGGAGACAAGGGCACGGCAGAAGATGCTGGCTGCAGGGCGGATTTGGCAGCTCTGGGGGTCCCCCAGCTCACGGGGGGAAGGTGGGATTGTGTGAGGTCTCTGTGAAAACCACCAGCAGCAAAGCACTCGGTGACATCCCTGTCCATGGGCAGGACTCGGAGCTGCAGCGGGCAGGGACATTTGGTCCCAGCAGCGCCGTGGGCCCCGGGCAGGGGGTTTTGGCAGGAGGGAACATGTGTGTGCTGCAGATTTGGCCAGCCAGGCTGGCCCAGGGGGAGCCCCGTGTGCCATTACCCCGTGCTGCGGGGATGGGAACCACCCACAGCTGGGCTGGCAGCAGGGTCCGGCCCGGGACAGCACCAGCCAAGGTGAATTCAGGCTGCTCCCTGACAGAGGGCTGAGATCCACTGCTCCTGGGGCCAGAGCAGCAGCACTGGGGCAGGCACTGGGGTCTGGCTGGAGCCAGATTCCTGCATCAGGCCCTCCACCATGGGCAGTAGTACCAGTGCCCAGAGCCCCCTCCCAGCCCTGCCGGGGTTCCCTGGCAGCCTCCTCATACTGCAGCCCTCACTCTCCTGTGCTTCCCAGCAAAACTCCAGGCACAAATATTTCCCGAGAGCCTCAGGGAGCCTGGCATGGCAACCTGTCAGACCCAGCCGGTCCTGGCAGCCCAACATCACCACATCACAGCCAAAGAAACGGGCAAAGAAACCACTGGGCACAGGGTGGCCACGGCTGGCTGCCCACCGGCCTTCCCGACGTCCCCAGCCCGGCTGGGACTGTTCCAGGGCACATGGAAGCCCAGGCAGTGCTCACCACTCTGCCCAGCGTGGGCTGCCTGTGCCAGAGGCTGCTTCCAGAGGGTCCTTCCAGGAAAGCGCAGCTTCCCCTGTGCCCGGCTGGTTTTACACTCCGCGGGGCCGGGACAATGCGAGGAAGTCGCCTGAGAGGGGAATGCGGCCAGAGGCCCTGGGACAAAGGGGCCTGAGACCTGAAATCAGCTACAGCAGGAGCGAGAGCAGCGAGAGCGGCGAGAGCAGCGACAGCAGTGAGGGTCCTGCGTGTCTGTGATGTTTGTGTCGACCCACGGCCCACAGTGCCACAGCCCTCCCTCCTGCTGCCACCAGCACGTGGAAGCTGCCAGGAGGGCACAGCACCTCCGGGACAGGCAGGATCTGTCCCTGCAGGACTGCTGAGTGCTCAGTGGGACACGTGGGCTGGGAGCCACTGTCTTTCTCTGCTTTGTCACAGCAAGACACCCCACTAGGCTGGGCAACAGTGGGAGGATTTAAAAGGGACGGGGACACTCCACAGCTCGGGTCAGTCTGGGAAAGGTGGCACAACACTGGTGCTGCTGGACAGCGCTGGCCCCGGGGGCTATTGCATGGCCTCCAGAGGGTCTGTGCCCAAGAGCTGCCCCCAGGCCGGGGTCCTGCCCTGCAGAGAGAGCAGTGCCTGCAGATCCCACCGCCCCCAGTGCCCGCCTCAGCCCTGCCCTGCCGCCTGCTTTACCTGCCCGGTGCCAGGGTGCCAGGAGCCACTCCACCTTGGCCATGGCTCTGGGTG